CAACGACTGGGCCAGGCAGGCCATTGTCTCTTTATAATTGATGCCAATCAATTTAAATATTGAATAGAAGGCGTTGTATTAAGTGTAACAATGTTCGTCGACAACAACTTTGAAAATTGCAATTGAACATTGACTGATTTAATTCATATCGAACTATCGGAGGAAAACTTAAAAGAGACTGAAGTTTGTTAAGTGTTAATTATATTACTAGTATAATATTGCCGCATATGAAATTTCAAAGCTTGTCAATGTGCATGCCATGCATCTAGATATGAACTGACGGAATCTACTATTACCGTCTACGGGACGTTAAAAGTAAACCTCATACGGTATACCTAAATGTTACTATGTTAGTGTGTTACATCTTTTGTGTTAAAACTGCGTCTATGGACTATGATGATATTATGTAAAATGTCATTCATGAAAAGGCAATATGCACGAATTTACCGCTTGCGTGAACGTGGCTTATGCGTCAATTTATATAGGCTTTATAATTATAGCTACTCAACAGAAACAAAACTAAGCGCCAATATAATAAAATCTCAATACATTTCCTGCGAGTTCCTGCCATGTTAATCGTTAATGTTTTGTTATGTTTGTTGTTGGATACTGAAAATGTATTTGTAAGACCCCATTATATCCAACAAATCGTCGCAATTAATTCAGGTTGTTCAAGCACCCAAATTAGCAAAGTATAAAGGTTTGAAACCAGTTTTAACGTAACGGAAAATTATTCTGAAATCCTGGTGGGGATGGCTTGGCTGCGAAATTACGGTTATTTGCGGAAATTGAAAACAATTATTTAACAATTTTGCGTTTCTTTGAATTCAATGGTTTTCAGATGCCAGAAAGTGTGACAGGTGAAGTGTTGTCTGAATCAACGAAGCAGTTAAGAGCTGAATTGAGGGCTAAAAACAACATTTTAACAAACACCTGTGCACAAATTGCTTCCATTAAAGTGCAACAAGTTACCACACACATGCCATTTGAAGTAGTGGCTGATCATATCAAGTTAAAAGAAGCTCGAAAGCAAAGTGTTGCTTCTGTTGCGGAGAGCCAGGATGAAAGTTTGGTAAGAAATTTGCAATAATTATTTAATACTGCATGAGCATTTATTAATTTGTGTACAATTTTACTAGCTCATCTGAATGAATATATAGAAGGAAATGAATAGCAGGGAGAATAATTACCAAAGTTTATAGTGTATCCCACAAATTCATTGAATGTTATTTTTCAGTATTGGTTTACTGAAGATGAGAAATATTTAAGCTCCATCAGAGAAAATGATGGTATTCGATTACAACTGGAAGCGATAAGCCAGTTAGTGGAAAGTAAAAATCAAGAGCTGGTGGGATTGATCGCAGAGAAAGAACGAAAACAAGCTAATGAAGAACGGCGAGTGAGGAATGCCCATGAAAGTAGGAAAAAGTGTACTAAGTGTGGAGGATATGTTGCTCAGATTGTTCATTTAAAAACAAAGGAAAAGGAATACAAAGAAAAGAAGCGAGCCTTAAAGCAAGAATGTGAAAGACTACAGAAACAACTGGATGCTAGTTGGTCAACCATCCATTTGTGGGAAAATGCGGTGAGTTACATTTTGTTTTAGTTGTCATTATTGTTAATAAAACTTGGTTCTTTAAAATTCAAGAAAATCTTATGGCATGCCTGTCAGATGTTGGGATCCTAGGTAGCGGCGTTATACCTGCAAGTGCCTGAAGCTAACTGCAATCCTTGGTCAGAAGGTCTTAAGTAAAGTAGAAAATTTCAATTTTTCCGAATACATTCTGCAATATTTATCGACCAGATTTAATAAGAGTTGTACCCAAGACATAAATTCATCAAATGGTGCCATCAAAAACTTAAATAATCTATTCGTCAGCCGACAATCTTGTCGGCTTGATATACGAAAATTTTCCAGCAATTGTGTTTGAGCAAATTAATGGACACTCAATTTTGACAATATGAAACATAACTCAAAAAAATTTCTTCTGTGCCCAGTCCCATGTCGCAATTTGCAAAACTTCAAGCGAGGCGAGCAAGTTTGGACTACACAGGGCTAACTGAAAATGTTTTTTGGCTACCTGCAAAAAAATTAAATATATAGGCATGTCTTATGGTTCCTATACTGACACTAGTATTCCAATGACACTGAAAGAAATGAACACTGTTACTTTTGGAATTCTACTGAATCTGATCTGATTATCTGAACAATTATTAATTTTATAGATTGAGCAAGAAAAAGAAGGGCACAAAAATGCACTTTGTGATCTTGAAGATAAGGTAAATCATGAACCAGCTAACTAAAATACTGTAGCTTTCTCCATGTTTTAGCGAGAAATTAACATAGAGATGATTTGTCACACAACTTTTGCCCAAAATTGTTGCATGCAACACAAGGCCAGATTTTGGTGGAAATAGTGAGGGAGGTGGGAAAAAATTAGGGGAGGTGCAACAGTCTAGCTCACGACCCCCATGGAAGGTTAGGACTTAGAACAGACCAAAGTCAACAACATGACGTATGCATGTATAGTGTACATACAGTATGTATCAGTGTATGAATTATGACTGTAGTCAACTCAAACGATTACTACAAAGTTTCTTTCAAAATATTGCATTTTAAAAGGATACTTGACACAGAGATAAATTGGCTATCACTGTTTCAATTTTACAGAAAAACTTTGGAAGTGTAGACACTAAGCAACCAAAAATGTCAAATTTTCACTTTGATCTATCATAATTGAAACTTTTCCAAGGGGATTGGTGCATATGACTTAGTTTTTAGGGGAGATGCAAAAATTCTTAGGAGAGATGCAAAACAATCTCAGGGGAGGTGTGCACCTCCCCACACCTCCCCTCAAAATCCGGCAATATTTCATCCATCAAAATCATTTGCATATACTAATTGCTTTATTGGTTATAATACTGCCATTAGATTGCATAGTTAGTACAAACAACTTACTGTGGACGTTGCACAACAAACAACAAAGTGTCAAAGTGATTATTATTTTCTGTTTGATTGAAAAGCATGCAATGTACTGTTATGTAGTCACTCGCTCATGATCAATATACGACTATAACGGGCTAACCAATGTAGGAATACCTCTTCAATACATGCATAATACATGCATGCATGTAAAGTTGTATTTCCCCATGTATGACACTTATTGAAACCGACATATAATAACAGATTGTACAATACTGTCATTCCAATTGAAGTGTTGCTCAAATATTGATTCAATACATTACCTCGGGCTGACCAATTCATTTCATCAAGTTCCTCGAGATATTCATACACTTCCTAGTATAATTGTAAACTTCCTGTTGAATAGTTTGAATGCACCAATCACCTTTGTTGTTTGTGCAACTAGCCAATCATAAATAGAAAGGAAGTGACTAGAAATGATCAAATACTTGGAATTAGCTCTTTCACAGGAAGTGTATGAATATCTCGAGGAACTTGATCAAATGAATTGGTCAGCCGGAGGTAATGTATTGAATCAATATTTAAGCAAGTACACTTCAATTGGAACGACAGTAAATGGATGCATATTAACAGGCATGTCGTACCAAACAGTGTAATTGGCAAACACAATCCGGGCAATTAACACTATACTGTTTCAATTATAGTTATTGTATATTTACTATATATAGTTATACTCCAGCTAGATACTTGCTTTCTGCGCACCAAATTAATACTGGCCGGGGAATGGAATTTGCAGACGCTAAAGCAATAATTTATTTTTGTGTATATCATAAATAATCTGCATACATAAGTTGCTTTATAGGTCACATTAGCATATATTCAGTATCATACTGCTGTAGGAGCTAATTGCATTATTAATAGGGGCACTTTATTATAATATGACAAGCATCACTTTCGGTGAAATGGCAGACTGTAATTGGCTGCGAAGCACTTTCAGCACTTTCAGTGGTCCATTATTTTCCCGTAATGGACCGGACCGGTCCATTACGTAAAAACAAACGCATGCATTTTAAAACAATTAAAACAGCAAAACTAGTAGAAAATTGAAAATTATAATTTTGTTTGTTATTAATAAGATATCTGCAAATGGTTTTAAGTGGAAAGAAAGGAATGCATTGCATTGCTATTTTTTGTTGTTTTCGATCAAATGTGTACCACGCTACTAATTAATGCATTTCAAATCATGCACAGTTTCTTGTTTGTTTCAAGTACAGTATAAATGCCTATAAATGCCATATAATAAACTTTTTATTAACTTCGATTGGACCTCGCCCTACGGGCTGGGTCTGTACAAAAAAGGCTTTGGTCTGATATTTCTCTGTAAAGACCTCACACTCGGTTAATAAGAAGTTAATTAATCATTGCCCTAAAAGTTACTCACATTTTTACTACTAACGTATATGCACTTTATTAATTATAGTTTAACAATTCTGAGAGAAGAGTACATGATTTGATGGAAGAAAATGAAAATTTGATACATGAAAAGAATTTCCAGCTTACAACCAGACGTGATCTCGAAAAAGAGGTAAAGGATTAATTACCTTCCCATGGTCACTTCACCAATATATGGACATGACTTATTATTATTACAGGCTCCTCTCGAATACAAACAATTCAGACAGCTCATTGTCAATATAAACATCAAAAGACCCACATATAAATGGATATAAAACATGCTCGAATATATAATGTTTTTATTGCACTTTTTAGCTTCAAGAAAAAATCACAACATTGCATAAAAGGACAAATGACCTTCAGACAGAAAATCAATCATTGGTCGGAGCTGTGGTTGAACTTAAAAGGATGGTAATAATTCAGAGTATTTCAATGTTGTCTCAACTTATGTGCCTAATTTTCAACAATGCCTAAGTATATCACTTACTAAATATCATGTTTAACCTAGGAGTCTTGAATTCCTAGGTTAAACGTGATAATTTTACATTGTTCCATTATTTTGCAGGATTATTCTGCAAAAAAACTAGATGTTATTGTCAAAAAAAGGCAGCCAAATACTGAGATTGTGTACACTGCTTTGCAGTGTGGGTTCCAGGCATCCAGCATGGCCATAAAAAAAATTGCCAAAAACCTTTTGTACTTTTTTGTTCTATTTAATTTAGGATTTTTTATAATTAGTATAGTTGTAAGAATGTAGTAAAACTGTCATACATTCAAGTTTTGGTATTATTTTAGCATGGTTCTTAAAACATTTTGTGTATTTTTTATTGTTTTAAAAGGTAGCATATAGTGATCTATAATTTTATTTTCTTGCCAAGTTTTGGAATAACTAGAAAAACTATAACATATATAAAATTAAATGTAGTGATGCTGCCTGTCACAGGCAACCAGAACGGCAAAATTGCATTGTTATCTACAGGCATTTACTATATCAGTTTTCACCATATTTAATAATAAAGGCAAGCACAGTATATATTAAAAAAATAAATATGCTAGTCAAATATATAATACTGTATGTGCACCAAGCTAGTCATTGGGCTGCCTATCAGTTAACATGACTTTATGTGACAGGATGTCAAAGAATACATACCTCCTTAACATTTATACCCAATATGCTCGAAAATATAAATAATTCTGAGAAAGAAAAAAGCCCAAGCTGAAAAATAGAGGAGCTGGGACAAATGGTAAAAGTCATTAGAGTCTTCACTCTAGAAACACCCTATCCTTAATAAAATATCCTTAATACAAAAAATTGTGGGGCTATACTAGAAATCAGGTCCAGGGAAAAGTCAGTTGAATTTTGGTTTAATTTGGATAAACATTGGATGAGAAGTTAGCAAAAGATTGTGTTGCTTTCTTGGCAGAGTAAACTGAATGTGTAATTAGCGTAGATAATTAGTGAGCCTCTGAGTGCCTGTTAGTTTTTAATTAATAATGTTCAACAGCATGCAGCAACCTTGTTCCCAGGCTTTTTCCTCTAGTGAGTATTATACTGTTGTACTGTGCAGGAGCTTTACATGATTATTAGTGGCACTATCTTTGCCCTGTTAAAACTTACTTACGTTTTCACTACCAGTACTGACATATGCACTTTAATATAGTTTAAGGATTCTGAGGGAAGAGTACATGACTTGATGGAAGAAAATGAAAATTTGACACATGAAAGGAATTTCGAGCTTACAACCAGACGTGGTCTCGAAAATGAGGTAAAGACTTAAGGCCAATTTACACCAGACATCTCTTTTATGGATACCTTCCTACGGTCACCTCTCCAATATGGACACTTCCATATTACACTCTGGCTCCTCTCGAATACAAACGATTAAATAGAAGAGAGATTAATTTAAATAACCACTCAGGAAATTTAACAACGAATATTAATCCATTGAGTGGCAGAATTCTCCCCCTGATGAGTAAAATCGTCTGGTGTTAGACAGAGTAAAATAATAAAGTAGGGTGCATCTGGGTGCATTGCACTTAAAGGGTTAAATTAACTGTACTGTTACCACCAATACATCTGATACCTTTCTAATACGGACTCCTTAACTCAGACAGCTCATTGTCAACATAAACACAAAGACCCACCTATTCCCTAAGATCTTTTGGAACTGTATTTGACCAATTATACTCAGTTTAAACAATGCAACTGATTTAGGTGGAGCAAAGAACAAATGCTTTTGAATCAGCACAAAGGAGAATCGCGAATCAACGAAAAATTCATGATGATATGGTCAATAGAAGTAATGAATTAGAAGACCAGGTACAATAACTGTCAGTGAATTGCGATAAAAAATTTTGATGGTACATGTTAGTTATCTCTGTGACTGATGTTCAATTCCTACAATATGGAGACTCTACTTTAATCTCAATCGTATGTAAGATGTGTGCTTCCGGTTTTGCTCTAAACACCGTAGATTTTCTTTGGATACACCAATAAGGATTGGATCTGATACTGAACCTGAACTGGTTTCCTCTTGTAGTAACACTGGAGCCAATGGGTGGCCTAGCCTTCTCTGCAGAGGAGGGGAGGGGTAACCCACTAGACAATTTTACTTATTACCATGCAAACCTTTAACGGACCTACATGTATACTAATTTTATCAGTACTATATACACTTAGGTTGAACAACAAAAAGCTGCATTGGATGTAGTAAATACTGAACTGGTTACAGCTAGAGCTGACCAGGATACAGTAAACACTGAACTGGTCAGAGTTAGAACCGAGCGAGATGCAGCCAGAACACAGATAAATAATTTACACTTGTTCAGTGGCGCGCTTCAGCACCTGGTTAATCAGTTTCAAAGGCGATTGCAGGATTCTGAAGATCGTGAAGGAAATGATCTAGCTTTACGCGATGAACTACTAGAAATCGTAAGTTTTTGTATAGCCAGCGTGGCCGGCTCTTCTATAAGGCAGATAATTGAAGATTATAAAAGAGTCGGCCACGCTGGCTAGTTTTTGTATTGAACGAATTATTAATGTTACTCCCACGTTTGACAAATCCCACAGCAATTATGTACCAGTCATGGGCTAATAACTATGATTTATCTTTTACTATTAGCTTGATGATCTACAAGAACAACCAAACGGACCACCAAACGTACCAAATGTAAGTTTATTTCTCGTATATGCAGTGCTCAATATAACAGCC